ATATATATATATATATATCTTAACATTTCCTTCTTCTGCAATCATTATTTGTTCAGTAGAGTCAAGGTGAACACAATACAGATCCATACTGTATAATTACAGTGCCCTCCTCCTTCAGCTGGTGTAGTCCTGTAGAGTCTGATGGTATTATTGAGGTGTACACACAAGGTACAGTCTGAACTTGTTTCAACCACACTACACGTATTACCTGTCTGACAAGTTATGAGCAAGTATTCCAATAGGCAAGTTCACAAATTTGGCTTCTGTGTCTCTTTCCTACATGGGTAAAGAGTATTCCTGGATGAGTCAAGATGTGATATACCATGGGTGGTCCCCTATGAAGACCCTACCATTTGGTGTCACATCCCATGGGCTTCCTTCAGGCACTTTCTAAAGGGGCTCACCATTTCACTGTAGGATTCTAACTAAACTGTGCGAAGAGGTGAAGTATCATCTCAGAAGTTAACATTTTCCTCACCTGAAAATATATTTCTGTTAGATACCTCTTCACACATTCCCACCCATCCTCCCCACTTCCAGTACACATTTTCTTGTTTGCCTCATAGAAGAATGAAGTTTCATGAGGGCAAGTACATCAAGGGAATTATTGCTCATGGAGGCATATTTCTCTTGAATTGGTGGAAGGCTTTTTTTTGCATGATGACATTATTATGCAGTAGCACAATTCATGTGAAATTAGGTAGGACATGGCTTAAAGCTAATGGCAAGCAAATCACTTTGGCAGATGTGCTGAGGAAGATAACTAAACTGTGTGGACTTTGATGAAAAGGAGACCATTATTTAAAGCTCCGTGATAACCAGTAGTGTAAGGAATGTTTGTACTTAAGTTTGATTTGTTTTGTTTCTCTGTGATATTGTATCAACAGAGATAAAGAATAATTTTGTCTTGTCAAAGGGTGTTTTAAAGTAATTTAACCTGCTTGTGTGGACTTTGACACTAATTTAACAAAAACAGTTTTGTGCAACTGAACAGTAACTGTAAAGTGCTTTGTGGTTTGAATGAAAAATGTGTGATCAAATTAGGCAAAGTCCTACAGAATCAGTAGGACATTGCAAGCATCCCTAGTCTAAGGAATCAAATTGGTGTCTTCAGGGCTTGTCACTAGTGGTGATGTTCTAGGTCATTCTTAATTAGCTGAATTGAATAGTTCTTTTCATGGATAATGGCATTCTTGATTCTGCTGAGCATTATTTATTAGTTAGGACAAACTGTTCAGGATATGTCATCAACTGTAGTGTTTTAAACATTGCAGGAGCAATGTTTCATCAAGATATTTATGTGACTTATTGTTGTCAGTTGAGGTTTGTGCAGCTTTCTGCAAGCAATTACCAGTATTCATAAAATCGTAATAATCTCACCCAAGTATAATTGGAATTTGTAAAATTATAGTTATGATCAGTTAAAACTGATGTAATGAAAATGTAAATCACCTTCCCTCATTTCACTGCTGTGCCTGTCAGACATATGATCAGTTATGTAATACGAAATTAATAGTTGTCCCTGACTATAGTCTAATGAATCGTACTCTTCCCCCCCCCCCTCCACAGAAAAATAGGGGTTGTTAGAATGTTGTGGTTTACACATTCATCAGACTTTAATCCTATTGAGCATTTGTAGAAGATGTGTTACAGCCTATGAACAAGCTCCGAGAAGTGGACAAGGGTGTCTCAGAAACATATCAACACACCAGTTTTAAGCATGCAATTTTCACACTGTGCTGCTCTTGCTATCTGTGATTGTTAAATTGAAGTGGAGTATCATGAACTCTAAAGCTACTTCTATCAAATATTTGTTTACAAATGTAGGTTGGATTATCAATCATTTGCAGGATGCTTGATGAAGTAATACTTGATTTGTAAAAATGTTAAATGGGATGATGGGTGTGTCATAATTCTAATAAAGTAGTTATTTTCCCTGTCAAAGCAAAAATATGATCAGTTTGGAAAATTGTCTGATCATTGGTGCTGTATAGTTGACTGATGTGTATAAACTGATGTTAGGTCAAGAAGTTACTGCATGGATGTTTAGCAACACACATTATAAAGAATGTTTCAAATTTACCATTTGAAAATATGTGATCTTTCACAATTAAGAAACATTTAATTAATATTTGCTTTGTTTGTAGTCTTTCTTTCATTTTAGTATATTTTTAAAACAGTATCATAAAAATACTGTAGTATTTACTACTAATGATGTAGGTGAAAAAACAATTAACTGAAAGGCAGGAAATGATTTTACCAGGCCAGTAAAGTTTTGTAGCAGTACTACATATGAGTGAAAGTAAAAACAAATATGTTTTAGTATGTCAACCACATTACAACTCTCATACTTCAGTGTTGACTAGGCTTTTTGCCCAATACCAGGGCTCACCAGGCTATCTGGGATACAACAGACATTGTAGTGGTGTAGGCACTATTTATATCATTAGTTTTCATGAACAATGACTTACAGTATGAACTATGTCAATGGAACAACTTTTTTAGAAATAAAAATCGTTGCAGAAAAGATTTGTTTTAATTCTTTACTGCTATAAGTTAAATTCTTAAAGTT